CTTTGCTTTCCCTTGTCCATCTCCAACGAACTCAATAAAAAGAGACAAATAGATTTTAGTAAAACTTGCTTGTGCTGTCACTAAAGTTTGCAGGCAAACATGATGAGCTAAAACAGGACTTCATGTAAAATCACTTGAGCAACTCTAACCAAAAATATGTATTTCTGATTTTGATTGCAAAGAGAATGTGGTGCCATAAACGTTTTTTTGTCGAAAAAAATCTTTCTAAGGCTACATCAAGTTGTGTTTATCTCACATCTTAACATAGCTGAACAAACTGCAGAGGTGTGTATGAACCTCAGATTTTTACTATTATTCTTTATCCATATTATTCTGTAAAGCAGTTCGGTAGATGGGATTGCCCCCTAATTGCCTTACGTGTAACTTGTTACTAAAAATAGCATGTTGATTGGTTAGTGAGTCTATGGGAATGACCTGATCTCGAGTGAAACATAACGAGATTTCCTACTAGAGTTAGTCTGTGTTGTTAAGTTTAATGGTGCCACAGCCCATCGCATGAGCACCGCTAGCGGTTTTTTTGTGCCCGAGCTATAGAGTCCACAGCCCAATTTAACTGCCTAGAAAAGTGATGTACAGTGTTGTATATTCTGTACTCACCTGCAGAAGGGAAGTAAAGTTCATAAACGGAAGATACCCTGTCCTGTGAAGTGTTTCCACCCACGCATAAAACACGACAATTTTGAACTGTTTCATACAATATCATAACTTCAACTCAAACAAGATGGAGAACACTGAAGCACAGGGCTGGCCGTGGCTGAAAGAATTCTTTCAAACATGGTAAATGAACCGAACGCTCTTATGGATGTTAATAAGTTACAGGTATGTGAGCTGTTTTCCAGACTCTCTGGCACACAAACTCCATCACCATCATATGGATAGTAACTGTATAAGTGTCTCAACCTGGTAACACAAGCATTTTGGAGGCTCTATGGTTGATAGCTCTACTGCCACGCACAACAATACACACACGCACATTGACAGACACACACAAACACCATCTTACTTTTTTTTTAAAATTAACCTTCAAAATAAGAGTATTAACCAGGTAAAAAAAAAAAACGTACTGAGGTTTCTGTTGGGCAGTTCTACCGCTACACACAAAACACACACACACAAACACACACACACACACACACACACACACACACACACACACACACACACACACACACACACACACACACACACACACCATGGTATAGCAGTGGACAATGCCATATTTTTGAAAATGGAAAAAGGAAATACTTATTAAAATATAAAACGTATATATTAGGAACTCTTTTTTAAAGCTCCACTAAACAATATGTTTTATATGAACAAGAAATCGAATAACTAAGTGTAATATGAGAGGTGTCACTTAAGTGACAAACTCGAAAAGAATTATCACCAACTCTGCAGTTCGCCTCGGGTCTATGGAGCATTTTAGCATATTTCAGCTCATTGTTTATCTGTCCAGACCACACTGTTCTGGTTCCCTCTCAACACTTTCATAATGTAGTTTCCAGCAGCAGCAGCAGCAGCAGCAGCAGCAGTTTTCACAACAGCTGTAAATCCATCCTTATCCCATAGTGTACTCTGAAAGCCTTCACTGCTCTATCTTCATTTTGTTATTTACAAACCAGTCCTGTCTGTATCATAACAAGTTTCTTATTTAAACTTTTTTTTTTTTTGCAAAGGCAACTTTATTCCACATTTAAAGGGATAGTTTGGGTTTTTTGATGTGGGGTTGTGTGAGGTAGTCATGCATAGTCAGTACATTATCTGCATTAGATCCTAAGCAGCGAGCTCCCAGTTAGGAGAACAGTCCAGAGCTATGTGTTACTGTACACAGGGTCACCAGAAAAATGTGTTTTAGACACTTTTAAATATGCCCACCAAAACAATCCAATAGTGTTTAAATGTACGCTTCATGTAGAATATTTTCAGCAGTTTATCTTCACGTGAAAACAGTCTTTTCCTTTGGCACTACATTTTTCTCAAGCACTGAACTACCGTATTCTAAGCACAAGCGCACCTATGGAGCAGACTATATTACACCGCAGCCGCAGGTCAGCTTAGTAAATCAGAAAGTGGCAAAATACAGTGTGCTCCGTAGGTGCATTTGTGTGTCGGAATACGGTAGTTCAGCAGTTGAAAAAATGCCATCCCTTTTCTTTCCCTGACTTTCCTTTCTCTCTCACTGTGCAGTCTGAATAAAGGCAAAAATCAAAACCACTGATGTACTGACCATCTGCCACACAGGCCAAATTTCTGAACATGAATTTTATGAAGCCTGATAAGAGCCACAAGCCTCATCAGAACCCAGAGTAACTCCAAACCCACAGAGACACAGAGCTTTCATATGGGAGCTTTTATTCCTTGTAGCAGTTTGAGTCTTTGCTTAGATAAAAGCATTTTAAATAAAACATGTACTGATTATTATTACTACAGATGCTGATGGAGTGGGAGAAAGAGTGGAGGCGATACAACATCATTTACAAGGATCCAAACTGGAACAGCACAGACAATCTGTGACAGGCTAAAAACAGACCTCACACTCAAATATTTGTGTGGAAGGCTGAAAGCACACAGGACTTCTTCACCCATCATCTAGTTCACTATAAAAGCCCTAGGACAATAAGTCAGTGTACAGTTTTTCTTTGCTATTAAATTTGTGTTCAACATAAGAAATGACTCCAGACTGGAAATTATTAAATCAGAACTGAACACAACTGACTGTTTTGACCTTTACATTTTTGCATTTTATCATTTATTTTATTTTCCTTTCCTATTTTCCTTTTTTTAGATGCAGCAACCTATTTCACTGCAAAGCTTACTACATACCACCAGAAGACTACTGAAATACATATACACTTTCGCAAAACTATTAGGAATGCAAACATATATAACCTTATAAATTATTAACAGATGTTACAATCCCATCTGAAATTCTTGGCTGCATTATTAATCTGCTCTGGTGAAGTTTTCAGTATGCATGTACTGTGGTTAGGGTTACAGTTAACTTCTCTCTTCTATAAATTAGTTCTTCTTGTAATTTCACATTTATCTCTCATCTCATTGTACAGGGGACTGAATAAGAACTACAACTAATGTCTTAAATGACACTACTATTATTATGACATAGTATCTCAAATGTGTCTCATCTCATATGCACAAAATAACTCATATATCACACACATCTAAACCTAAAGATCATAATAACATACTGTACATATATAAAATCATGTTAATTATTAATAATTATGACTTAATATGGATGGCAGTAGTAGTTATCTATACAGCAGCAATAAAATTCTGAATATGGAGAGTCTCCAAACATGGTTAATGAACATAGATACAAATGAATGTAATAATGATAAAATCAAAGAAAATATTTTGAATTTCAGTTTCAGTGCAGCACGTGTGGTGAATCTTATTAAAAACATGGGGATACCAGTCATGCTTTGAATAAAACCTGATCCTCCTCTAGAACAGAAGAGGCTTAATGCTAGTGACTTGTTATACTGCAAGTTATAAAAAAACTCTGGTTACTAGATGTGGAAACTGAAAAATGTGGGGACAAGATGTACAGGTTCTTCTAAAGCTAAAATGAGACTACAGCAGTTTGAGACACATTAAGTGAGTCTTTGTCCTGGCAACAATCATTTGACAACCAGAATCTGTCCCTCCACCATGTCTCAATAGTCTTGAATGGAAACACTGGATTTTCTACTAAAAAATAGCTCACCTTTGTGTCCCGGAACCCGTGTTTCCCTGTGTCTCATTGTGTGTCTCCCTGGTCTGACTTTGTGTGTGTGTGTGTATGTTAGTAGGCGCATTTACCTCTTCCTGGCTCTGCAGCTCTCTATACCTGTTTGTTATATACTCATCACCTATAGTTCATGCACTCTGGTCCTCATCTCACTCATCACGACATTGTTCACCCAGTCAACGTGGTAAAAATGCTCTCCGCCACCCAGTTGTAGTATACTTGAGTTGTTCCATGAATATTTCTTTGTTTACCTTGTTAGCTTTGTTTCGCCTATGCCCCGGGACTCCAGTGCCTGAATTTCACTCCATTTCCCTCAAGCCGCTGCCTGTTAACCCTCTCTGTCATGCTGTTCACCCCCAGCCATCTCCAGTCTCCACATCTCCTTACTATTGCTCGACGCTCACCTCTCCTCCCCAGCAACACCTCCACCTCTCATGCCTGACTTCTCCTGCCTAAACCCCCTCCTCTCCTTTCATCTCCCCACAACCTTTTAGCTATTAGAGTACCTTTAATACTGCCTCTGAGTTTCTATGTCTGCTTCTGTGTCCAGATGTCTAAAACAAATGTTAAACTCTGTTCATTATCTTAAGGATAAAAGGTATTTTTTTATATCTCTTTTAAGTTAAAAAGTAGATCTCAGCCAAGGTTGTATAAAGTGAAGTGGGTCTTCAAAGCATTTTAGCTTTGCTTTTGCTTAGAATCTAGTTTTATTATTTCTTCACCACTATTTTATTGTTTTTTTACTTCAACCCTCTCTGTATTTTAACTATTGTTTGAATTATCTAGCTCTTTCTTTTCTTTTTGTTTGTAACTCTTAGTGTGCAGCTGTTCTATTATTATTAGAACTTAATCTAGGTAAACTATAGGGTTATAGATAATTTCACTACATACACAGAGGCAAGCTGCAATCATTGTACAATATGGGATGATAGCACATATATTATAAGGAGCCATATTTATAGTACAGAAAGGATTGTTTTATTATTATTTTGTAAATAGGCATCCCATCTACTGTGAAAAGAAAAAAAAGACACACCTGCCCATGCCTAACTTTGTCTGTGTCATTGTTACATACCATTTGAACCAATAAATTGTCAAGTAATTTATTATTTATTTTTAAGTTATTTGATCCATCTGAGTATAATAACAACGCTTTACAGAGTAAGAACACAAAGTAAATAAATAGATAACAATAATAAATGATAAATGATATAACTGATAAATGAAAACAAGATGAGACAGAATAAGGGTGGCAATGATGGGTACTAAAAACAAAGCAAAATGGAAACAAATATAGTACTGTTGCTATAGTATGATTCCAGACAATACCCACTGTGGACAACAAGGGAATCACATGTCACAGCTCACACTCATTGGGTCCATCCATCCATGTAGCCATCATCACCTGTTCATTTTTCTGGATATCAGGAAGTCTGATTACTGGAAGTAGATATGATTGGAAATGTCTTCCTCCAACGGCATGAGAGCATCCTGACAACTGAACACCTCAATGGTTCTCTGGAACACATCATGTTTAAAATATTACTTCAAGGAATATAGACACACACACACACACACCACAGTCACAAGCTGCCTTACCTTCATGCCTGTCAGTAACTCCTCTCTCGGTGTGGTGAGGAGAAGCTGGTAGAGTCTGTACTTCTGAAACAAACTGGAACCAACACAACACACAGGGTCAGCTGTATAATTATTAAAGGTCCCATGTTGTAGAAAGTGAGATTTCCACATCTTTCTGATTATAAAGCAGGTCTAGGTGCTAAATAAACACTGTGAAAGTATCAGAATATCTGCCTTAAAACAAGCTGTCAGGACCTCAATAACTTTGTGATGTCACAATTAAGCAGTCACCACCCTCAGCTATGCCCCAGCTGGGCCCACCTGGACATTCCCAGCGTGGCGACAGTTTTTTGTAATAGGCTGTAAACATGTTTATTTCTGCTGTAAAGTTGGACATTTTCACATGGGAGTCTAGGGGGATTGACTCACTGTTGGAGCCAGACTCAAGCGGCCATATAAGAAGTGGAGTTTTTGGCACGTCTGTGTTGGCTTAATTTTTTCAGCCCCAGAGGTTGCCACTTGATCTGTACATACATATTCACAAAAACACTTTCCCTTTGTGTCCTAACCTAACCACTGACATCATTTCTAAATAGATTTTATTCACCGTCTTTTTTTTTTTTTTTTTTACAGATACAAATCTTTTTACACATGAAAAAACTTGAATTTCTCATGCAGATTTATTTTACATGTTTATAGGTTGATTTACAACTGCACACTTTGGAATAATTTGTGAACATCATTTTACAAGCTCAGATTGGACACAAAGTTAATAACATGGGATTAATATAAAATATGACATTTCCACTACATAACCTATAATGGAACCTTTGAATCACATTTTGGAAAACCCCATGTATAGATATTTCTGCCCAATACATAATCATTTTTAGATTTTCTTGTTACCTGTTTCTGATGTAACATATGAGCTCTGTGGCTTCATCTCTGTCCAGAAGTGAAGTGGTGTCTTCCTCTGACGTTTGGCAGGCAGTAGCTAAGGCCTTAGCAAACTCCATCAAATTCTCCACTAAACCCATCTGTTTCTCTGGAATATGATGAAAAGACACTGTTTAGTGTATTGATTATGATATATGTGTAATGCATTTACAAGTCATGTTTTCTGCATCATGGAAACACATTTTAAAGATCAAGTGCTCATTTACAATGAGCAATTTTCGTATGTATCAGAAACATGTCAATTTAACATCCTGGTCAATGTTGAGGTGGTAGTTATAGTTTAGTTATAGTTATAGTTTTGTATTGAACAGCTTTATATTGAGAGCTATTTCTAATATTCTAATCTAAAAATGCAGGATTTGATGCTGGGCTATTGTATGGATCACTTAAGATTGTAGAGGTGCACTTAATAAGCTGATAACTCAGTTTAAAGCGTCTTTTAATATCACTCCACTATTCTATATAATACACTATAATAATAAGTGTGTACATTAACACTCTGTATCATGCCCTCAAAAATCCAAAATGGAACAAAAAAGTAGCATCCATGGCACGCACCCTACTTTCAGTCAACACAATGCAATGCTGTGTTTTATTAGATTAGAAAATGACTCTTGTGCAGCTCTACAACTAATAAGTGCCTGTTATATGGTGAATGCGTGAGCAAGGAAGTAATATCAGACACAGCAGAGGTCTGTTTTCATTCAGACGTTTTTACACAGTAGGAAAAGCTAAGTTGTGAATGATAAAATGAACAATGATTTAGTTTCAAAATCCTGGTATGGTTCCTTTTAGCTCACTGTCACACTGTCATGGCTTACTGGAACACTTGAATGTTACAGAGCCATTATCATCACCTTTACTTCTGCTATGCCAAGTCATAATGTGTGCTGTGAACAAGGCCTGTTGCAAATACATTAAGTTTCTTAATTCATTTTGTGCTTTCCTTTTTCACACACCTCTATATTTAGATCCTATATTTTCCACTGTATCTTATTTGCTACACAAACATAATGTAAACCCCGGACAAATCAGATTTTCAAATGCATGTTGTCTGCATGAAAATCTATTAGCAGACTCTTGAAAAAGTTACATGATCATTGCATGTTAATGCAGAGCAGACTTTTCAAATCTTTTCAAATTTTCAAATATGATGTAAGTTAGTTAAAAAATCCTGACTTGATGTACACTGTGATAGATTTACATACATGGTTAGCTTTGATATAATGTACATTAATTTGTTATAAATGGGCTAAAACATGCAAAACCTCCGGTATGGTCCTGTAAAGTTTAATTTCATTTAATTTGATCTGATGAAGCATAAATTTGAGAACAGTGGCTGAAAATAACTGATTACTTTGAGAAGGTTCAGGATGCTTAGATCTATGGAGACACTGTTTTTTCTACCTCCCTCTTTTCACTCCCTATAAGATATCTTTGCCTGTCTGTCCTACTTACCTCTTATGTTCTCCAGCAGCATGTGTAGTACAGCTATGGTGAAGGCGGTCTGTTTGGGGGTGAACTTGGCCTCTTTAGTCCACCAGAAACCAAAGACGTAGTAATCAAGGAGGGCAGCTTCCTTCATACAGGTCTGATGGTTTCTAAAGCCCAGGATCTCCTTCAGTTCCCTACAGACAAGCAGTACACACTGAACCACAGTCACTTACGTGCTAATAAATAATAATAACAATAATAATAATAATAATAATAATAATACATTTTATTTATAAGCGCCTTTCAGGACACCCAGGGACACTTTGCAGAGCAAACTAGATAGGCAAAGTATGAATGAAATAATGAAATATACACTATATATACACATACACACGCATATATATATATATATATATATATACGTATATATAAAATGCATACATACATACACAAACATATATATACATACATACTCATATGCACATATAAATAAAGCAACAATTCAACAATTCAAGTGCACAGTGTACATTTCACAGAGCACTAGGAAAGGCCAGCTGAAATAAATGGGTTTTAAGCTGCGACTTAAAAGAAACAACCAGAGTCTGGGGGAGAGCATTCCATTGGTTAGGGCCAGCTATACTAAAGGCCCTATCACCCATGGTGTGCAGTCTGTCCAAACCTTGAGGGTTTGTAGGGATGGAGAAGATTGGTTAGGTATTGAGGTGCTAGACCATGGTGAGATTTATAGACAAGTAGCAGTATTTTAAAGTGAATGTGGTATTTAACTGGGAGCCAGAGTAGTTGCTGAAGAGTGGGGGTAGGGGTGGTGCTCCCAGGACTGTGTGTGACTAAAGTTGCAGCTAAATTTTGAACAATCTGAAGTCTATTTAATGCCCGTGAAGGCACACCAAGGAGAAGAGCGTTACAGTAATCAAGTCGAGATGTGATAAATGAGGATGAGGGTCTCTGCAACAGAATGGGTAATCTGGAGATGTTCTTGAAATGGAAAGAGGCTGTTTTGGTGATGTTTTTGATATGTGTGTTAAAACAGACGGTGGAGTCTAGAGTTAGACCAAGATTTCTAACTTCACCTGCAGAGGATATAATGAACCCAGGGATGGTGAGATTTAAATGGGGAACTTTGTAAAGTGTCGCTGAGGATGGCTTCAGATTTATCTTGGCCAAGTTTGAAATAATTGCAGGTCATCCAATCACTGATTTCATTTAAGCAGTCGGTCAGGTTGGATGGTGGCAAAGTGTCTGTGAGCTTGGTTTAGATGTAGATTTGTGTGCTGTCAGCATAGCAGTGGAAATTGAGGCCATGCCGACGAATTATGTGTCCAAGAGGTAAATGGTAAATGATAAATAGTAGCCAAAGAACTGCGACCTGGGAAACACCATGGGAAAGGGAGGATGTGGTACCTGAGGTTATTGATGGAGACAAATTGTTTTCTTGCTGTGAGGTAGGGCCTGAACCGGGATAATGGAGTGCCGGTGACACCAAGTAAATGTTCTAATCTGTCCAGGAGAAGTTTGTGGCTGACTGTATCAAATGTGGCAGACAGATCTAACAAGATGAGTATGTTGAGATAACCAGAATCTGAGGCTATGAACAGGTCATTTGTCACTTTGGTGAGGATAGTTTCTGTACTATGTTTTGTCCTAAACCCAGATTGGAACTCTTCCCATAAGTTGTTGTCAGACATATGAGCCAGGAGCTGGCTGGCCACAGTGCGCTCAAGGAGTTTTGCTAGGAATGGAGACTGGTCTGTAGTTGTTGAGGTCCTCCAGGTCAGTTCCAGGTTTTATTAGGACTGGGGTGACAGCAGCCATTTTTAAACAGGAAGGGACAGAGCCAGAGAGAAGAGATGTATTAATTATCCGTGTCAGCAGGGGGCAGAGGACAGGCAGGCATGATTTTATCAGAGGAGTGGGCATGGGGTCAAGAAGGCACATGGTAGACTTTGAGTTTTTCTAACGGTGGTTATATGTTGCTCATCGACAGGGGAGAAAGCTGAAAAACTGACAGGGAGAGGAGGGAGGGGTGATATAATTACATTTCATGGACATATTATGTAACTGGTGGTAGATGGAAGTTATTCTGTTCTGGAAAAAGTCTATGGAATCACAGCAGAGTTTTGTAGAGGTAGTTTGAGGAAATTGTTTTGGTGGTTGATGTAGCTTATTGATTGTAAGAAAAAGCTCTGGGGTTGCCTTGTACTTTTGTAATAATGGTGGAGTAGTAAGTGGTCTTTGCCTTGTCAAGTGCTTCCTTGTAAACTCTGAAATGCTCTTTGTATGCTAGTATATTTACAGTTAAACCAGTTTTCTTGCTGAGATGCTACAGTTGGTGATCAGCTGCCTTCATTTTGCGCAGCTCTGTCGTAAACCATTTGAGTGCGAGATTTTAGAGGAGCAAGATGATTTAAGGTATCTGAGAGGAGCACATTAAATTTAGAGACCAGGCCATCGGTTGATGAGTTTGTGTAATTGTCTGTGAGCTCAGCCTCCAACATGTTCATAAGAACGGGTGTCCTCAGATAACTCAGATAACTCTTGATGTTCCTGTATGTGATAGTGCAAGAGGAATGAAGTTGATGTGAGGGGACAGGGAGTAGTACCAGAGGAGCAGACAAGGTCCAGTGTATGACGTTTAGTATGTGTGGGGAAGTTGATGTGCGGGAATTGAGGGATTGAATTCTGCAGCAAATTAACATTTTCAATGAGTTCAATTTGAATATTCAGGTCACCAACTAACAAAATGGAGTGAAACATAGAACAAACAGATGTGAGTAGCTCAGAAAGTTCACTAATGAAAACAGGATGTTCTGGGAGGACGGTATATAAGTAAACATAACAGACGCTGTAAGCCAGTATATTTCAGGGCAAAACATTCAAATGACATAGTCTATTGTACAGGCACAGTTGAACATATCCTTATATGTTGAGTGGTTATCCTTATATCCTTATACTCAACATATAAGGATATGTTGAGTGGTGGAGCACTGCAAGACCACCAGATTTGCGTGGTTTGTCAACGTACACAAACCCAGGGGGAGTGGCTAGGTTTAGTGTTAAATAGTCATTAGGGAGCTGCCAAGTTTCAGACAGACACAAAAAGTCAATATTGTGCTCAGAAATCAGTTATGAAAGGTGGTTTGTTATTTAAGGATCTTATATTTAATACAGCAAATTTGGTATCAGTTGTATCTCTGTGATTAGATGACTGAGGTGCATTACAATTTACCATAATTAAATTTTGTGGGTTTACACTTGCAGTCCTTTTCCTGCCTGGGAGAGAAGTTGATATTTTGAAAAGCACAGTGTTTAAAACCTGACTTGTCTTACAGACTCTCTTGGGGTATGCAGGGTTCAGCAAAAGGGGTGTTCCATGTTGATAGGGGGAGCACTTGAGGTTGTTTATTGTTGAGGGGTGTGGCGAGGAAGAATGGCTAGATACAAGTGTTGACATTATGCGTGTGGTCTTATAAGTGAATCACGCAAATGGGACTGTGTTGATGGTATGAACAGAAACAGTTGAGAAAGGAGGCGGTGAGTCTATTCATTCCGATGGGAGAAGTGAACGTGATCACAGATTATGACCGATTCTTTCAAGCCATAGTCACCGAAATAAATATTGGACCCATTTTTCACAAGCCACAGATCTCCAGAACATTCTGACATTAAAATGGCATTTTTCAGACTGATAGATCAGGAGTAAATTTACTTTATTCTGACGTTGCTTTCCAACCAGATAACCAGGATCCGGAGACAGTAATCTTTGGATGGACATGAAACCATGAATAAAAAGTTAAAACTTAAATAAAACTTGTGTGTCTTTGCTTAACATTTCTTTTATTGTCATTATTTTTTAACCGTTTTTGGAGGAGAAAACAGAGAGTATTAGGCTATTAGACTGATATGATCTTGTACTGGGTTAATCAGATATCAAGCTAGCAGATGAAAATGAGCGGGAAAATAAGGTACAAAATTGTACTGTATCAATCAGTGTTGTATTGTCTTGTATTGTTTTGACATGGACAAGAAATCCATCAGTTAGTGTTAAAATTGCCAAAGCCAAAGCAAATTTATCTGTCTGTTCTTTCTCAAAGGATGAAGACAGGTAAGTCCGGATAAAGTTAGATATTAACTGTCACATTTCATACCAGTTGCATAATAGGCCTGCATGAGCTACCTGGTGTCACTTTGCAATGCCCTTCTAGCTAGATTGATTGTTGCTCAAAACAATTCCAAATGAGGTGGGGGTGATGAGGAGTGGAGTGACCACACCCACTTAGGAGAAAGGAAGTGTACACCATTCTATACCATTGGCATTGCGTTTAATGCGTCATCTTTTGTTATAGAGTTCGCTGCCAATGCACGCACGCCATCCAGATTGGGATGGATTCCATCTATGCTAAAAAAGACTTCTGCTCCCAGAACAAGTTAAAGTTATCAATAAAAACAAAGTTCTGTGAAGTGCAGGCTGACTGGAGCCAGGTGTGGAGGCTAAGCAGGCTAAAACCGCCAATGAATCTGTTAAAAAAGGGGATGGGACCAGATAAAAACACGCTTCTCACAGACTTTGAGTGAGTAACAGAGGAAATCAAGTTTCAAGATTTCTGACTGCTTAAGCGCGGTGTTATTTGTGCCAACATGAATAATGACTTTTTGGACATGAGGGTGGATCTTAAGAACACCACGGTAGTTGTTCTAGGATATCAGGGACCTTGGCACCTGGAAAGCAGTGGGTCACAGCTGCTTTTGTGTGGATATTCCTAAAAATAAGTCACCGATGAGGAGGAGGAGGAGGGGGTGTGGATCTCGCATCCATGGAAGGATCGGGCAACAGACCAGTGCTCCAGCTTACGTGGAGTCGAGCTCAGCAGGGCCTTTATGCTCCCCCCACCAGTCAGAGACCATACCTCTGCTGGGACATCACACTTAGTGGAAGTGGCCATTGGCCATTGGCTTTGCTCCTAGGAGCAACCACGGATCCTGTGGTTGGGTTGATATAGCATGCGCTGGAGTTTCTGTGGTGATGGAGCCGGTCCATGGGAGAGTGGCATGATTGTTTATGGTCACATTCTGGTTACCACAGCCAGAGGAGCCTAGGACAGAAATGTGCTTGGCTTTGGCCATGGCTATAGTTGAGATGCACAAGGATGCACTTGTTCTTCTCTCTGACCTCAGTTTCCACACCAGCATTTCTTCAGCTTAGAGATGGTAACTCTCTTGCTAATGCTATTACTATATATTGAGAACTTTAGATCCAGACGCCCTATGGCTAAATCCTTCGTCCAGATGAAAGAGACGGTTAAAACAGCAAAGATCTGACAGTTGAGACATAAAATGTGGCTTAAAACTGATGAAAGGGGCGTCGCGTAGCGCAGTGGGTTATGCAGGCGACCCATATATAGAGGCCACAGTCCTCGCTGCAGCTGGCTCCCGGCTCGACTCCCGCATCGGACGGCCCCTTCCTGCGTGTCATTCCCCCTCTCTCTGCCTCCCCATCTCCTGTCTCTCTACTGTCCTGTCCATTAAAGGCACAAAAAGCCCAAAAAAAAACTGATGAAAGACCAGGGCATGAGGTCACTTCCTCTTTTTGGGACAATTTGTGGGTTTTAGCAATGTAAGGTAAATTACGAAAAGATCTCCCGAGTGTTTTCAACATGCTTCGTAGTACAGGCGTCAAGGCTACTTACAACAGAAGGTCGTCTGCGCCGCGCTGCTGCAGCTCTGCGGTTTGTTGGAGAAACAGCGCTTCCCACTGCAGAAACAAAGCGTCCTCTTTCTTACAAGACAAAACACAGTCCAGCCATGTCAAACAAATCAACCACAAACACAGCAAACACTTCTGATAAGCGCAAAGCTCAGATCTACCTGTAGTTTACTGTCCTTTACTTTTGGTTGCTCTTTATTTTCACGACGTGTAGCTCCTCCAGACATGTTGACGCTATTGTCGTTGCCATAGCAACAGCCCTTCGGCCTCAACGGTGAAGATCTTACTTACGGGGAGAGATTCACATGTTTATACATTAAAACTTTCATCTGATCATAAATGATAGTTGAAGCATGTGTTAAGGCATCAAAAACATAGAATAATGCCTCACGTTGGAATGATAGCTGGTTCCAGCCTTCTGTTTTGAATTTTTCTGATCGGAAAAACTGTATGTGCTTTTGCAAATTTTCGTCCATTTACTGTAGGACACGTTCTGTAAACTAGCCGTTCTACAGGGCTTCATTACTCACGTCTCCTACAACGTCTTTTTTCAGTGTTGTCAATGCTATTGTATGAATATCAATATCATCAGTTAAAATAAAATAATTAAAATCAGTAAATATTACTGACGGCATTCCAGAAAAGTCATCAATAAAATGTGCACAGTATTCCGGGGCCTGTTGATGGTAACTACTGCATCAGTTTGATCATTTAAAAAAGCTTGATAATTCTGTGAGAAGAGGCCTGTTCAGAGTGGCTCCCCTCTGATTGCTACATATATGTGACTTGATCCCAGCTAATTTGGTGCTGTATCAATTTATGTATGAAGTAACTGTGGCTTAACATTCATTCACTGATGATTTGTTATATGTTAACTAATGACACTAAATCTTAGCAACTTGGGCATTTATTAATAGTGCCCAACAAGAATTCATGACACATCCTGCATGCATTCGTGTATGCATTAGCTCATGAGTGTGAACATAGCTAGGCCACCTGGTGGCTACTTTCTCATAACAAATTATCCTCAACAAGACTCGTTAGACTGCTATAGCTGCTGTGTGGTTATCAACTGATGGATGAAACGTCACACCCTCCTCCGCCCTATGTACCGCCTCCAATGTATTGAACTGGGTTTCCCCGCCCTTGCTCGCTACGTAACATGCGGCACATCGATAGTGGTAAATTGAGCGCAGCCACTATCTCCACTGACCTGGATTGAACAGGGTCTGATTCGCGCTTAGCTGTGGAAAAGACGCCACCGCAGGTAATTTAGGGGTCTTCTTTTCTCAAAATATCCTCAGTACATTTAAGATGTGTCTATCATCTGATCCACTGACTGACAGCTTCACTGCGATGAACATATTTGGAGAAATTGTTCATTCTTAATTCAAAAGAACAGTCAGAGCGCACATGTAGAGTTAAACGCTGTTACCAGCCTTGCTGTTCTACTAAAGAAATGAGAACCGTGTGTCGCTGTAGGCTGTCGGATAAACCAGGACCTGTCGTCACTACATAGCAAACTGATTCTGAACGTGATCTGACGTCGTTCCCACCGCCCACACTCATATGTCATTCTAAGCTGGAAGTCTAAGTGGCAGACGAATCTTCTGCTTTGATTTCTGTGCCGTGCAGATGGAGTCGGGACCGGGAGGCCGTGACTGCCCGTCACCGCTGCTCCTGCAGCCGCGGAGTTGTAGGAAGAGTACTGATCTGCTGGACAGACCCCTGTGATCTGATCATCCTCTGCTGCTACAGTAGTGTTTGAGACACCAACCTAGTTAAAAATCTCTGCTGAAATCATCATACTCTACATGGACCCGCAGGGCGCAGCGAAGGGGGGAGCGGGGGCCTCCGGAAGAGACCAGAGCTTCACAACTCAAGTCTAACTCCACTAAGGCTCATGGTGAGTTCTTATGCTATTTATTATTCGCCTATTTTATACACTGATCTGTGACTACATGGTGTTTTTGCAACAGTGTAGCTGAGGGTATTAACATAAAAATAAAATCATAACTTACTATCAGCCTTAGTGGATTTTATGATTTGGGATATTGGGCTGTATAAATAAGATTTGACTAATACCAGCGTAAATTAAGGTTACAGTGCAAACAATATATATTTCTAGTTACAAGTTAAGGGGACATTTTAAGGATAATAATTCTCAGGTGATTCTAAGACACCGCACTGCACTGCATCAGCAATTCTGAGGTTTAAAACGGAGGTTGGATTATATTAGTTGAAACTGTTGGTTGCTTCGGGCTCAGTGCAGCTTGCAAAGCAGGGCCACATCAATGCACAGGAGTGGCCCAGGGCAAAAATGAGCTATGGCCCCCTACTATCTCCCTGTGTCTCTTCTCTGCATAAGTAGTATGTTTCTGGTAATTTGACTAACCTGATTTTACGTCAAAGTCAAATTAAAAGCCATGCCACTCAACCTGTGCAAAACAGCTGTGAAGGGATTTGTGTGCCTTGTTAACTCTGAGAACATAACTCAAATAATCCTGACTCAGGCCTGAAGATCACAGATTTTTAACCTTACAAACTGGAGGTTTGGGGTTTGCAAAGTGTGGGCAATTCCAGTTTTATGGAGTACTCATGGGTCAGCCTCAGCTGCACAGTTTGTTTTATCCAACTCCACACAACTGACAAATCACAACTTGTTGCCCACTATGCTTGGTTGGCATTTTGTCTTGTTTTCATGGGTCCTAGCATCACTGCTGCTGCTGTTTGGGCTGTTACTATAACCCGATTGTGACAGGATTTTCTAGGCTGTACTCATATTGATATTTGAGAGTTTAAAAACACAAGCCAAAACATAAATGAAGATTTTTGAGAATGTCCACTTTAACTTTTTTATTTATTTTTTAATGAGCAGGAGATTTACAGATAATAATCTTCTCACAACTCTAGACAAACTACAGAATGGTGACATTGTTTCAAAACATATCTTTGGAATTTCATTACATTTATATATTGATCTACAGTGAGTTAATATCAGCTGATGTATCGGCCAGGCTCTTCAGTGTAATTATCCTTGGTTCCCTTTTCCATCATGTATCTAGAATTATGAAAATTAATTTATGCATGTTGGGTCTGGGCAGGTTTCAGACAGGTTTGGACCCATAAAGACCTCTAGTTATACCTCAATCATAACTGAGTATATACTATAGTGGTGTATTTTATTGTTATATCTACTATTATTGTTATGATTATTATTATTTTGTGTGTATTCTATAATGTCTTCTGTTTGCTAGTGTTGTGAGCCCATATGTGGTTCCAGCTTTGTAGAGCCCAAGTCTAATTTCCCCCTCGGACAATAAAGTAGCCTATATATCTATCTCTTTGAAGGCAGCATAGCTGTATTTAAAATAAATCAGGGTTTGTAGTAGATGATACCATTCAATTAAAGAATGCCTTGACCAGCCCCAACACATCTTCAGGACATCCCTGATACTAATGAAATGTGTCTGATGCACTCAAGATCGATAATCCTCAATGCTTAATTTAGCTCTTGCATCTCTTAGAAATATAGACAGCAGGAAACAAAACCAAGGGACAGACTTTTTCACCCTCTGTGGATTAATACAGCAAAGGAATGCTTTTACGTTTTGACAAATAAAATGTATTTAGAAGCAAGTATTACTATTTTTTAAATAAACTTTGATCTGTAACATTTCTAGGCTGGTGAAAAGCTTTGACACTATGAGAAAAATCCTGTTTACTAGTAAGCACAGGCATCAAAGGCAGAACAAAGGATCCTCATTACAAAATCTTACATCTTGACACAGAGCGTGGTCGCACATCTGAGACAAGTGGACTGTAGTGTGCACTGATCTTTGCTGCTGTGTGTGCATGCCTGTATTTACTAATTTTATAGAAACTGCAAAGGATTTATTCAGTCATGCTCTGTCCAATAGATGGCTTGTTCAGTGGAGCGTGAGGAGAGAGCATGTTGTCCCAGAGAGAGAGAGATGAGAGGAGGAAGACATGACAGTGTCTCTAAAATACAAGGCCTTGGAAACACAAAGGAAAAGCGAGTTGACGCTGTCGTAAAGACGGAGCCAAGTTAGCTCTTGATTTCTGCCTTCACAGGAATCTTCAGCTTGAATTATGCACATGTAAGAGTGTGTGTTCCAATGAAGGAGAGGGCCGAACTGTTGGTTGCCTCTGAACACAGAAGGAATGCTAGACCTGTCCAGGAGATGCACATCACTTACTGTATATGAGTCACTTTCTCTAAGCGTCCTCCACATCCCTGCCTCCACAGCTAAGTCATCTGAGCGTGGCAGAATAATATTAATGCACATATATTTAACTCACAGTGCAAAAAAAATTTTTGTTGGTAACCTCATGGATTTGCCATCACCTGAAAGGACAAAATTTGTCTTAAAATGACAGTCAAGAGTGTACATTAAAGGAATACTTAAACAATTTTCGGAATAATGCTTATTTACTCGCTGCGGCTGTTATTGTTTTCACCGTGTGTGTGTGTCATCATGGTCCAGGAGACACCTACTGTAGCAGGAACTACCACAGAGGCGGTTTTGAGTACTTTGGCAGGTTTGTCTGCATGTCTGTCTGTCTGCATCTATTGACAGATCTGAGTACTAATGAGTACTTTTGTGATAATGTGGTAATTACTACTGAGTACTCATGTAATAATGTAGTCATGATATAATAATTACTGAGTACCCATGCAGTAATGTAGAAATAATATAGTAATTACTTCAGAGTACTCATGTATTAATGTAATGATAGTGTAATAATGACTAGTGAATACTCATTTAATAATATAGTAATAACTACTATATGACTACTGAGTACTAATGTAATAATGTAGTAATAGTGTAAGAATGACTACTGAGTACTCATGTAACAATGTATTGATGACTACTGAGCACACATTACACAGTAAATGTGAGTAATGTAGTAATAGCTATTATATGACTACTGAGTACTCATTTAATAACGTCAAAATAACTGCGGAGTATTCATGTAATGATGTAGTAGTAACTACTGAGTAGTCATGTATTAATATAGTAATGACTTCTGAGCACTCATGTAATAATGTAGTAATGAGTACTGAGTACTCATGTAATAATAGGGACTTTAACCAGCAGCAGTTGAAGGGATGGCTATGGCATGACATCATAGATAGATAGATAGATACTTTATTTATCCCCTAGGGGAAATTCATGTGTCTGTTCACTCGTGGTTTATAATAATAATAATAATAATAATAATAATAATAATAATGAATAAAAACAGTTAATAATACATAAACAATAATAATTAGATTAATTCACATCCTTTGGCTGAGGAGTTGTATAGCCTGATGGCAGTGGGAATAAAGGATCTCCTGAACCTCCCTGTTCTTCAGTGCAGTGAGATGAGATGTTTGCTGCACCTATAGCTGCTGCCAGAATGTTGTAGAGAGGATGGTTGGTATTGTCCAGATGACCTCCATCTTACATTGCATGCGTCTCTCCACAGCAGTCCTGAGTGAGTCCAAACTCCTGCCAAGCACAGACCCAGCCTTTTTTACCAGCTTGTCCAGTCTCCTTGTGTTCATGTCGGACATGCTACTGCCCCAGCAGACTGCAGCATAAAAAAGTACACTGACCACCACTGACTGATAAAACGTGCAGCATTTCACTGCAGACGTCAAAGGAGCTGAGCCTCCTGAGGAAAAAGAGCTGGCTCTGCCCCTTCCGGTAGATGGAATCCGTGTCCAGGGACCAGTCCAGTTTACTGTCCAGGTGCACACCTAGGTATTTATAAGTGTGCACCACCTCAGTGTCCTTCCCTTGAATGTTGACTGGCTGAAGGTTGGGCCTAGACATACAGTCCATGACCATCTCCTTGGTCTTGGAGGTGTTCAGAAGGAGGCAGTTCTTGTCGCTCCATTCACTGAAGGCCATCTTCAGATCCCAGTACTCCTCTTCCTGCCCATTTGTGCTACACCCCACAATAGCTGTCTGAGTATTTCTGGATGTGACAGGACTCATAGTTGTATTTAAAGTCGGCCATATACAGGGTGAACAGGAACGGAGCCAGAACAGTCCCCTGTGGAGCCCCAGTGCTGCTCATGACTGTCCCTAAGACGCAGTTACCCAGCCTGACGTACTGTGGTCGTCTTGTCAGGTATCCTACAATCCAGGACGTGAAGCAGGGATCAACCCCAATCCCTTCCAGTTTGTCTTTNATTTATAAGTGTGCACCACCTCAGTGTCCTTCCCTTGAATGTTGACTGGCTGAAGGTTGGGCCTAGACATACAGTCCATGACCATCTCCTTGGTCTTGGAGGTGTTCAGAAGGAGGCAGTTCTTGTCGCTCCATTCACTGAAGGCCATCTTCAGATCCCAGTACTCCTCTTCCTGCCCATTTGTGCTACACCCCACAATAGCTGTCTGAGTATTTCTGGATGTGACAGGACTCATAGTTGTATTTAAAGTCGGCCATATACAGGGTGAACAGGAACGGAGCCAGAACAGTCCCCTGTGGAGCCCCAGTGCTGCTCATGACTGTCCCTAAGACGCAGTTACCCAGCCTGACGTACTGTGGTCGTCTTGTCAGGTATCCTACAATCCAGGACGTGAAGCAGGGATCAACCCCAATCCCTTCCAGTTTGTCTTTAAGAATGGGGGTTTGGATGGTGTTAAATGCACTTGAGAAATCAAAGAACATAATCCTCATGTAACTACCTGGCTCATCCATTTGTAGGCGAACTGTAGGGGGTCTGGTGCATGTTCAACCTGTGGCCTCAGAAGGTGGAGAAGCAGCCGCTCCAGGGTCTTCATGATGTGTGATGTGAGGGCCACCGGTCTGTAGTCATTTATCTCAGCAAGTCGGTCCACTTTAGGTACCGGAACAAGACATGATGTTTTCCACACGAACGGGACCCTCCCTGTTTGTAGACTTAAGGTGAAGATCCTCTGGAAAGGCTCAGCCAGCTGGGTTGCACAGTCCTTTAACAGCCTCGAACACACACTATCTGGGCCTGTTGCCTTTCCAGGACATAGCCTCTTGACCTCCGCCCTCACCCCTCCACACTAGGGTCAAGTCTTCGGTCCTTTATAGCAGAGTAAAGGACAGGAGACTTGACCCTAGTGTGGAGGGAGTTGCAGCTGAAGCAGTGAGAGAGAGAACAGTTGAGGCTGTGTCAAACCTTTTGCAGGTTGAACTCATTGGCCTTGTCCACATCACCTGATGTTGCCTGGCTGTTCTTCTCTTTATAGCCAGTGATGGTCCTCATCCCCTTCCACATCTCTCTGGTGTTGTTGTGCTGTAGCTTCCTCTCCACTTTCTTTTTGTAGTCACCTACTTTAATCTCCTCTTCAGCTCATGTTGCACACACCTGAGTTTCTCCCTGTCTCCATCCCTGAAGGCCTCCTTTTTCTGGTTGAAGAGGGTATTGATGTTACTGGTGATCCAGGGTTTGTTGTTTGGAAAGCAGTGTACAGTCCTTGCTGGTATTACAGTGTCCATACAGAAGTTAATGTAGTCAGTGGTACATTCAACCATTCTATCAAGGTCAGGGTCCTTGCTTTTATCATTTTCCTGTGACTCCAACAGTAAATTCCGAAACAGTCTTTTAGAGACTCACTGGCCTCCGTGGTCCAGTTCGTGAATGCCTCAGAACACGGGGCTTATAGGAAGGCTGAAGAAAAACCAGATTATGATCTGATCTGCCAAGTGGTGGTAGAGCTGAAGCAGTGTAGGCCTCCTTGACATTTGCATACAACAGACCCAGTGTCTTATTTTCCCTTGTGGGACACAACATACTAAGTCAAGCCATTCAGGTGAGAGGTGATGGTGACATGGTTCAAATCCCCCAATATTGCAATGAATGCATCAGGGTGCTTTGTCTGTACTCTCGCAACAGTCTCGTGAATGATGTCACATGCGACTGCAGGATCTGCTCGTGGTTGAATGTTAACAACAATGGCGACGATGTGTGAGAACTGCCTCAGTACATAGTACAATCTAAGACCAACTGCCAACAGTTCAATATCCCGACAGCAGATCTTCTCCTTCACTGTGATGTGACTGGGGTTGCACCATCTATTGTTCACAAGCAGAACCAGACCTCCACTTTCATTCTTACCGTTTGCATACAACAGATCAAGTGTCTTATTTTCCCTTGTGGGACAGTCAACATACTGAGTGAAACCAGTCAGGTGAGAGTGACATGGTTAAAATCCCCCGATATAGCAATGAATGAATCATTTTCATTTTTCCCATCCCATATTCCCCTTCACTTGAGTCGCTGTTGCTTTGATTTCATCTGGGGGGCAACCAAAAATAGTTATATGGGTGGATGGAAAGATTTTCAGATTCAAAATCCTTGAGATTGTGTCAAAAATGACTGCCAGAAGCTGGACAATTTGGGGCATGACCAGAACATGTGGGTCAAGTCACAGGGAGTCTGAGTTAATCTATTGCTTCCCTCATCTAATCTGCCCAGGTAGAGCTTGGCAAGCCTGGCTTTACTATAGTGAATTCTGTATAATACTTTAAATTGTATTAGGCTAAGTCTGACACAAATGGATGAGGAATTGCCAGAAGTAATCCGATAGGGTAATCGCAGTTCGTTCTCCCAGCTGGCCCTAATTTTGTTAACAACAGGTTCAATAGATGGCGAGAGAAGGTTATAAAAAGCTTTGAGAATAAGATATATTCCACTTGGGGGTGAGATTTGAGGAAACAGGGAAGAGTGGGTCCTCGCAAAGTCACGTAGCTGGAAATATCTAAGGAAATCTGAGCTGTTTAGTTTGAAGTTTGCACGCAATTGTTCAAAACTAGGAAATAACTCATTTATATACATGTCTTTCAGATAGCAGAGACCACTCCTCTTTTGAGAGTCAATTTTAGCAGGCACGAATAAATGATTACAAATAGGAGTTGTCTGAGGGAGAGTGAGCCAACTGAGGTGGCGCCTAATTTTTGCCCAAATTTTCAACATGCCAAATACTATGGAATTGGATGTGAAATGGGAGGGACAGAGAGGAAGGCTGCCACAAGCCAGGGCCTGGAGCGAGGAAGAGGAGCATGACTTAGCTTCGATCTGGCACAAGTTGCTCTGAGGTAAAACCCAAGCATAATCTTGTGAATATTAGCAGCCCAGTAGTAGACTGGGCTGCTAATGACTAGGCTAATGACTAGGCAGGCCAAGCCCTCCATGGGATCTGCTCCTTTGTAATAATGATCTACCGACTCTCGCATGCTTACCAGCCCAAATAAACAAGGAGATAATGCAGTCTAAAGCGGTTAAAAGAAAAAGATCTGTATATATAATTATTTTTCCAGTGACCCTGGGTGCCATGTCAGGAGATTTCATTGATGCACTCATACTGAAAGAGGCTTGCGTAATTATGCAGGGTTTTGGAAACATGCAGCGCAGTCTAACCTCCAGCAGCTAGTCTCCAGGCTTCATGCAGTCATTCTGACTAGCATGAGTGAGGCTGGATGCTATGAATACTGATCATGCAGCAGCACTGTCTATATGCAGAGAGGAAACATGATTACTTTCTTTTATAAGCAATTTAAAGCTCTTCGCTTATAACAGCATGTTGGTGTCATGTTATTATTAAAGGAATAGTCAGACATTTTTGGAAATACACATTCTTGCAGAGAGTGAGATGAGGAGATGAATATCAATCTCATGTCTGTTTAAGTACAATGCTGGAATGAAGACATGGTTATCTTAGCTTAGCATACAGACTGGGAGCAGGGGAAACAACTAGCCTTACTCTGCCCAAAGTTCAGAAACACACCTACCAACACCTCTAAAGCTCACTGGTTAACATGCTACATTTTGTTTGTTTTACTTGTGCAGCAACGGAAATGTAAAAATGAAGGTTTGTGGTTTTGGGGGTTGTCATTTGCTGTAACTATCTCTTGGTGAACAACAGCCAGGTGTAGTGACTGTACACAGCTTTCTGGAGACTTGTGCCACTTTCATATCATAGGCCTATGGGAAGGATTGTAGAGATGATAAAGATTCAGATGTTTACAACTAGTGAGCAGTACCTGTATGATACTGTAAATTTGTAGATTTCGATGTGACATTGTGTCCACACAGGAGGCATAGCACAAGCAATGTTAGCAGAGCAGCAGCGTGGTAGGTCACCCACATTATGGAAGACCAACACACAATCACTGTAAGTAAAATGTAGGACCACAAAAATACACTATGGGTCAATGGGTTTTACTTTACTTTTACTTTACACCCATGACCACATTTGTTACCATTGTAAACATTGTACATACCAGAACATGTGCTTAGCCACTGTGGTGACATGCTGCACAGATGTCATAGATGCATGGATAAAATGATGTTCGTAAAGAAATACTGTAGATGCAGCGTGAACAGAAAAAACAAACAGAATACAACTTGTCAATCAGTGAGCTTTTGATGTTTTTGTAAGTGTGTTTCTGAATTATGGAATGGTCTAGGTTAGCAGCACTAAAAGGGGGGCCTTTTAGTTTTCATGCCAAGCTTGGCTAACCGCATTCTGATTCCACCTACAAATTTAACACATATACAGTATCTATCTTATCTCATTATCAGAAAGAAAACAAAGCATATTTCCCAAAATGTTCAAACTGTTCCTTGAAACTGAATAAAGTAAGCAGAAAAATGCAACAATATACTCCTGACAAAGTCCTGAACTAGCTTAGATCAGTGCAGGACCACCTTGACACTTTTGTTATAGCTTTTGGCTGGACTAAAGCAGTTGTTAAAGAATTGTTTTTTCATTGAACAACAGAATAATGTCTCTGTGTGTCAGGGTGATTTTTGTTCTCCATTCTAATAGATCATTTTAAGCAATGACTTTATAAGACACGTTATATTCTGCATTGTTCTCTTTGTAAACTTGTGTCATTCGCAGGATTTGAAGAGAGTGTTGTCATTCCCACCATACCCTGGGGATTACCTGCATCCAGTGGTGTATGCCTGCACTGCAGTCATGCTGCTCTGTCTGCTTGTCTCCATCATGACCTATATTGTTCACCACAGGTGAGAAGAACATTTGTTTAAGGATTGTTTCACATTTTTCAAGTCTATCTTAATACAATAGTCACGTGTCCATACAGTATATATGTTGAAAGAGTTATTGGTGGATGTAAAGGTCTCAGTATATGGCTCTATTGCCTCTAAGTGTCTCAGACTCCCTCTACAATGGTGGAATTGCTGGGGCTTACATCTGACATATTTTGCAACTTTCCAGACTGACACGTTAATAATAATAGTCATAACAATAGGCTTTATTTATATAGCACTTGTCTTAACACTGTTACAAAGTGCTTTATAAAAAACTAAAACCAAAAAAAGGGGAAAAAGAACATGAGTAAGTAAAGGAAGTAAAAACAATAAAATTTATAAGAAAAAACAGGAATATAACAGTATAGATATGAAGCTTTGTCAGACATTTCCAAAAGCTGTCACAAAGAGAAAAGTTTTGTGTGTCTAAGTTCAGTAGGCAGATAGTTTCATAGTGTCTCTAATACAGGGTTTTTTCTGCATAGAGAATTGCGAGGCAGCTGCCTCCGTCAAATTTCATGCTGCCTCCGCCTCCCAACAAAATTCTAGTAGGCCTACTTGTTTTCTCGGTACTCAGTGGATTTGATGTAAAAGGTGAGCAATAAAATGTTTAAATCTAAACCTAAACATCTGTGGGTTTTTTAGTGTCATCAGCATAAAATGGTAAAAATCTGAAAAAAAAAAATCAGCTTCTTTACTGAACTGATTAAACCTTTGCCACAACACAGTGCAACATCCTCCCAAAACATTGCGTTTGCCAATAAAAAACGTGCAAGTGCACATTCCTGATTAATTTGGAACAATTTTGTTGAAAAGTTAAAATCCTGTCTCATGATGTTTTTCATAGCCTTAAAACACATGGATTTAATACTCAAACCAGCCCCCCCAGCAGTGGCACCATAAGTCTGTTTGCACTGTGCTTACATTTTTTTAAATAATTTTGTTTGTTTTAACAACTTGAAAATAAAATAGTGACAACAGGAGATCCTGTCTTATTTTGTGGCTGCATCCACTAACGTTATGAGTGAGATTGAAGAAGAGAGCAGGAGATAAAAGGAGGAGTATATGGTGCTTTGATGCCCAGTGTTGACACTGCTGATGTGGAGCACTGGTGAACATCCATCATGATATTGGAATTGATGCAGAGGCCGTTTTGCAATAGTTTAATTAATGTTATTAATGTGATTAATGTTCAGACGCAGAATGAACTTCAAATAGGCAGGACTACTATTTCATTTTATTGTCTCATGAGGTTTTTTGATTGTTTATTGTAGCAGCTTGGTTTGGTCTTGCTGTTGCATATCGTAATTACTCTGGTAGTTAGTGAAGCAACTGTTCTCATGATAATGATGCTAAATGAGGGAATCTGTTACCTAATGACGATTTTTACTGCACGTTTCTCTGGGATTTTCAACATATTATGTAAGAGTATATTGTAGGCTGTTATTTAGCTGCTGTTGTTGTTTTTAAGGCCTGTTGGTTGGTCTTTGAAATGCATGTGGTAGGAGGCTAATCAGAGTTTTATTGTGGTGTTTGTGTCTTAACTTTAGCGCTATAATACACAAATAAATCTCTCTTTCTCTCTCTCTTGCATGCTCACTCGTTCGATGAGTAGACATAGGCCTACTGTATGTGCATGTGGGAGAATATAGATAGTCTTCCTGATAGAACTTGTGCTAAGCTTCATTTCAATCAGGAAAGACTCATTTGCTTAACGAATAAAGTTTAATTGCCACGTGCAAAGAGAGAAATATGACATAAGGGGGTGAGGCTGTGCAAAATTTGGGGAAACCCCCCAAAAAGAAAGCAAAAGGAAGAATGACAGACCAGAGAGATAAATCGATACTTACCTTACTGCAGCAGAGGACATCTAGTAAATTAGGTAACAAAAAGGTTACGCAGAGAAATGCATGCTGAAAGGAGTATGTAATGGTTACATAAATTCATAAAGATAATTCATGGAAGAGGTCGCGTTAGCATTAACTGAAGATGACGTTGCTATAGGCCTGAAATAAATTATGGCAAGCAGCATTCTAGAATGAATTGAAAATTGAAGATGTGGTAGGATGCTAGACAAATTCAAAATATGCGACATGAAAAACGAGACAAGACAGAGATGAAAATCATAAATGAAATTACATGAGCTTGTTAGAAATTAAGGTCAGTATGTCACTTAAATGAAATGGTTAAAGAAATATAAAGTCTAACACTAAAGAAATTAAGGTGAGAAAAGACGAAGACAATGATGTAGTAAAAGTTCAGTGAGGATCATACTGAAATAGAAAGGTCATAAGTCTGAACAGAAATTAGAACAGTGAGACTAACTTAAATAAAATGCAAAAGTAACATTAAGGTCCGACAATGGTGGCTGAACTGAGAACAGAGTTATGCATGTATGGCATAGAACATGCTGAGGCAAAGATGACCATGATGATGAAAGTGGTCTTGTAACCTGATGTGCCGAGCCGACCAAAACTAAAAGATATAAAAGAATGATGATTTTACAGAGTGTATTAAGTATGCCAGGGACATCCACCACCAGTTGAATTTACATGAGTGATGACCAGAGTAGGACCACTGCCATATGTCATATGTATGGGTAACCGTATGACTTATATGTATGAGATCTTATTACAAAATAGCACTAATGTCAGGCGATGTAAGAAACGTTTACGGATGCCGTCTCTATAATTAACAGGATGAATATATCTTTAACAGTACAATGAAGGAGATCAGTGCTAACAAATCGTTCCACTCCAAAAAACAAAAAACTGCAATGATCAGGGAATGCACCACCAGAAAACATGTATCATTAAGGACTGATGAACCTGAGCTGAAATGAGGAGGATCTATTGTGAGGAATTGTAGCATTGCAGCCGATAAATGAAGGGATCTCGATATCTGATTACAGAATCCAAACACTATTGAAAACACGTGGGCCATATGTCAGCTGAAGTCTGACGCATTGCGAGTACCCTACTATTGAATCTCTTACTGATGAACATTCCACAAGATGGGCAAATGGGGACAATTGCTCATATAAAAATGTAACATATATGACAAATAACCCTATGTAAGAATGATGTGCAATATGTGTTCCTATAGGGCGATAATTATCACATATACTGTATGTCCTCTAAATATTTGAGCAGATAAAAGTATAACATGCGTGAAATACCACAATAAAACTTAAACATGATGAAATATCTATGTGATGAATTGTATATTGTGACAATATATATTAATGATAAATTTCCATTTGCAAATTCTTAATGCAACATACATCTAAAAGTATGTTTTCTTATCAATTGAAACATGTGAATGTTTGAATTTACACTAATTTATTTATTTTTTAATATATAAATAAATTATGGCCCCATTTAGGGAAAAATAGAATGAGCAGGGTATGCATAGGGCATGTGATTGACCAACTGTACCACACGGCGACCTGCCTGATATCGGGATAGAGTACAGAACATGTCAGTTCTAGCCCTCACTCCTCCTCAGCTCTGCCTTCTCATCCAAATACATTTCTGTGGTTTCAAAAACCAAGATGGCGACGCAAAAATTATGAACTCAAGTCTTCAAAATGGCAGTCCACGAGCAATGTTCGACTTCCATGGTAGCTACTGATAAAACATAGTTAGACATTATGTAAATATGAAAGAATTCCAAATTCTGATTCTGGTTCATATAAAAATATAAAATACTTAATGTGTGCTTGAGTTCAGATAATCGATATAGGCATATTACGTTACTTAGGGTGAAGCGCTTGCTTGAAAATGAGCTCCATAACCTGCGATCTTATTATTTGAATAGCTTGATAAGAGAGTAGCTTTGATGGCATGAGGCTTAACCATGACGCTTGGCTCCCCTGAAAAGGACTGAAAAAGGGCTCCATAGAAAGCCTCCCTGAGACGTTTAGGGGGAGCTTTAAAATTAAAAAAATAGTGTATACTACTATATTCATTCACTTTATTCATATTGTAACTTAACTTAACTCTGTTCATTGTTTGCAGTGTGATCCGCATCAGCAGGAATGGCTGGCACACACTCCTCAACTTCCTCTTCCACACAGGACTAACATTTGGAGTTTTTGCCGGGGGCATCAATCAGATCAACCTACCTTTTGTGTGTCAGATTGTAAGTTTTTTTTCCCTACTTGATTAGTTTGGTGATATTTTTATGTTGCCTGCAAAATGTGATGGTCCTGAGAGAGCTTGAGGCCTGCTCAGTTGTTGGTCAGGCAGTTCCTGTCAGTCGTGAGGTCACTGACAAATGGGCCTCAAACAAGGTGCCACCTGATTTGACAAGTGAGGTATTGAGTTTCATCAAAAAGGAATCAAATGAAGGACAGTGTTAAAGATTTGGTTAATCATTCAGCTTAAATTTGCAAGGGTTGATTCACATTATTAACTGTCTGTTTAGGTGCAAAATTTCCTCTGGTTAAAATATGCAGTGCAGTATCTATAAAAGGTATTCAGCCTCATTGGCTGTTTAGAAGTTTTTACACTGAATCTTCAGTAAGTCATGCTGTGGCTGAGGCTGTTTTTAGGCAGTGTGTTGCTTTTAGCTAAATGCTAGCAGCAGCTCACTGTACAAAAGCCTACCAGTTTTGCCCCTTATCAAGCATACAGACTCTTCCTCCTTCCCTCACTCCCGACATACAGCCCCGCCCATCATACAGAGTGCAGCAGTTAACAAGCGGTACTGTAGTTAACGAGCGGAGCCGTAGTTGATGAGAAGAGTCTTTCCATGCAGTTGTGACGGTGAAACTTGCCGAGGGACAATACTCTGGACTGTCCTTTACTGTGTGCGTGAAGGATATAAATGTAAGTTGTGACATTTCTGTTGGGAATAATTATGCATTAGACTCGCTAACCTGCTCTGTTGTACTTTTATCATGCTTGCTGACGGATTGCTAGCTTAATAACCTTGTAACTATCTTAAATGTATCAGCAGTTGTTCATGTTAATATTAGGCCAATGCGCTGAATAGTGGCGTATTTAACACACATTATAATTAACAGCAATTTCTATTGTTGGATTTATGTTTAAAGGGCCATTTCATTATATTTCATGTTCCTGTTATGTGCTTTATGCTTGATTTCAGACCACACATATACGCTGACAGCCAGGCCACACCTGTTTAACAAGTTTTGTAATAAATAAGCTTTCCTCCTACCTCAAAGATTATCTGACTGGAATCATTTCCTTAGTGTCCCAACCCATACCACTTACCGAGGCTACGCTTCCTTATACTCACTATGGCAATGCTAGAATACTAGGCCCGTAGGCATTTTATCATAGCTCTAAGTCACACTAAAAGTCCTCTTTACAAAGCTGATGAGACCAACTTTTACTAATGAAAAGTGAAAACTCCAGAGCTAAGAGTGTGACTCCGTTGCTATAGGTGACATCAATTTTCATGGATAAGCATGAAACATGCGCAACATACCTCAGTAATAATAAAAAAAAAACACTGAGAAATAAACAAATACAAATTGAATAATAACGGTGCTGTTTAGGTGCTGTTTACAAAATTAGTGCATTAGTGCAAGTTTGTACATGCATAGAAAAGATTTGCATTACTAAAAAAAAGAGAGTGTGAATAAAATCTGTGAACGAATGATGAGCGCTGAGGTTACACAAAGGAAGAAGTGTTTTTGTGAACATGTACAGATACAAAACAAAACAAGGCATCTCTGGCCAGGTCCACCATTTTTTCAAAAAGCTGACTGTTCAGGTGCCATGGCACAGCAGAGAGAGATCAAAGTTAGTGTGACCACCAGCTTTATTAATAAAATTACATCACAGGTCCCTGGGTTGCTCTACCAATGGCATAATGTAAATCCTGAGTCTCTGGGCAGAGGTCACCCTGGAATGTGATAAGAGCAGAATTGTGGTAAATTGAGTCCACATGGGGGCTCCATACAACAGCTAGCCTCACCAACACCACCAAAAGTCATTAATTAACAAACCACACTTTTTTACACATATGCTGAACTAAGCTAACCATCTCCTGGTTTAACCCTCATACCTGAGGAACAAATGAGCTTCCTCTGTAAAAAAATAGCAACAAGGATGAACTGTCAGAGCTAGTGCAAACAGATGTAGAACTGCAGAATTATACACAAGCAGATACATGCTAAAACTACAGTACATTCATGAACTCGAGACATAAATTACCTCAACCTAACAAAGATATAATGCAAACCTAATCAGTGAACTAGCACTTTAATAAAATTGTTCAAACTATTAGTAACACGTGTTTTTCCTACTACAAATCAATGTCTGCTGTGAGAAAGGCTGTTGCTGGAGTATTTTGAACAATATTATTAGCTGAACATGGCAAACAGAAACAACAGAATTTAGCGTGTTATTATTCTAGCATCTGTTAATTGGTAGATATTAGTTTTGCAGGTATTTTGTCATAAACCAAGTTGTGGGGAACATGCATGGCTTTACCAAATTTATAATAATTCATCCAATATTTCACCCATGACAAAGAAACGAACCACAGTCATGCTTAAAGCCTCACTGTGAGTGGGCTAAAAATTCTGAATCAATATTTTTAAGTAGAAGTGAATACTTTGTATGAGCACTGTACCATAGGCCTATGTGGCTGTGCAGAACCACCATGCATCACACAAAAACACACAAGTTTCTCTTGAGATTCTGTATCTGTACAGTTTTGCTGTATTCTAACCAAAGTGGTTTAAATGTTATCACAATATCTGTATAGATCAGTGGACCAGTGCAAAAAGAATTTGATAAAGCAAAGCAAAGTTGGTTCAGTGGACATATTGTAATGCATTTCTATTCAGTTAGCAGCATGATTCAAAAGTAATAGGAGAGGGCACAATTTGTGGTATGGTGATTACCCAACTATCTTACATTCATGTGTTGCTTTTAATAATGTCCCTTTGCATCTTTTTCGGTGTTAGGTCGGCATTGTGCTCCACTATGCTTCTTTGTCTACCATGATGTGGCTGACGTTTACTGCTAGGAACATCTGTAAAGATGTGTCCAAAGACCCACTTCGGGCCCAGAACAGGAATGGGCTGGCCCAGACTCGCACCAAACCAACCATCCTCAGGTAAGCCATAAGATGGTAAGCAGATGTTAATTCACACAAAAGCACATTGTTCTGATTAAATCACTAAACAATACAGTGTAAATTAATCGTAACTGGTGTTCTGTCAACAAGCAGTAACCTGCTTTTCAAAAATGAAAGGAGAGCCTGATGAAAGACAGCTTAAAAGATATTTAACTGTATCGCAAAGAAAGGATTATAGCAATGTTGGTAGTGCCCTTAGACATCTTTCTCTCTTGCTGATTTTCACAAAGCAAATGATGGAGTGTTAAGCCAACTGATTCAATTCATCTTCGTAGTCCTTGCAGAAGTGCAGACCTGGAAAAACTCCTATTTGCTCTTACCCTTTCAGCATCAACTGACAAATCTCAGTGCACTATGACAGTGTGAAAAGCTGTGAAGGCAATCAATGTTAAATGACTGAGAAAAATGTGAAATTTAACAAATCTTACAACTAAGTTATTTAATTACATACAAGAGAATTTTATATCACATATTGTTTGTAGCTGATGCCTCATGTCCCAGTGAATCAAGCTCCACTTTATACAGTGTGCCTTCATTTTATTGTTTGTAGATTTAATTTTAAGTTGATAAATTGCCCATGAGCCTACACTCAATAACCCATAATGACTACATGAAATTCATTAAACATTAAAAATCAAGAACTGAAATCTCTCATTTACAGTGTTCAGACCCTTTGTTGTGGCTCCAAACTGTGGTCAGGTGCTTCCCGTTGGCTTTATTTATTTATTTAAAATTTTTTTGGGGCTTTTTGTGCCTCTAATGGACAGGACAGTAGAGAGACAGGAAATGGGGAGGCAGAGAGAGGGGGAATGACATGCAGGAAAGGGCTGTCCGAAGCGGGAGTCGAACTGGGGGCCAGCTGCAGCGAGGACTGTAGCCTCTATATATGGGGCGCCTGCGTAACCCACTGCGCTATGCGACGCCCCAACTGTTGGCTTTATTGATCTTTCAGATGTATCTAGAACTTGAAGTCCACCTGCAGCAAATTGATTGGAAATAGTTTAAAAAGGTTCACACCAGTGTATATAAAGTCCCACAATTCACACTTTTTGTCAGGACAAAAACCAGGCAATGAAGTCCAGGGAACTCTCTGTCAACCTCTGTGATTAAATAAAATTGTGGTGAGGCATAGATCAGCTCCCAGGAGCACAGTGGCCTCTATAACTGTGAAATGGAAGTTTCGAACCACCAGGACTCTTCCTAGAGTTGGCCATCCAGCCAAACTGAGTAACCAGGAAAGAAAGGCCTTGATCAAGGGGGTGACCAAGAACCAATGATCACTCTAAAGAAACGGAGAACCTACTGGAAGGACGACTATCTCAGCAGCACTCCATCAATCAGACCTTTACAGTAGAGTGGATAGAGAGAACCCACTGTGAGTAAAAGGCATATAGCAGCCTGCTGCAATTTGTCAAACAGCTTTTAAAGGACTCTGAGAGCATGAGGAAAAAGATTTTCTCTGATGAGACAAAAACTGAACTCTCTGGGCAGGACTCCAAACATCTGGTGAACACCAGGCACTGCTCATCACCTGGCACCAGCATGGTGGGAGCAGCATCATGCTGTGGAGGGCTTTTCCTGAGCAGGGACAGAGAGATGGTCAAAACTGAGGGAAGGAAGAATGCAGCCAAATACAGAGAGGTCCTTGAAGAAAACTTTTTATCTATTTGAAATGAAATCTACAACACAGTTAAGTGAAGGGGTCTGAATTTTTTCTGAAGCCACTGTATATTTCAGTCTGAATCAGTGGGGTGCCCCAACCCACCAACAGCATGTAACTGCCTTAACTGCCTTAACCACAAATTGGAAAGTAAATTATAGAGTAGTTTAATTTGATGAGCTACTATCCTTTGATTCAGCTAGATTTTCTTATGTCTCACTTGTTACCCTGCAAAATTTCCAAAACACCATTTGTACTTGATATTTTTCACTTTTTTGCAGATTTTATCTTGTTAGTGATGGAATCCCTCTCATAATTGTTGGAGTCACAGCAGCATTTGGTATGGATAACTATGGCAGCAGGGATGATGCTTTGTAGTAAGTACTCATTATATTTGAGCATACATTCACTGCTTTCATGGTTAAATAAAATAAATTTATGTTTATGTCTCTGTGTCTTTTTCAGTTGCTGGATGGCATGGGAACCAAGTCTGGGAGGTTTCTATGCTCCCATGACTCTTCTGGTCTTAGTCATGTCTGTGTACCTCTTGTGCACCTACATCCAGCTCAAATGCCACCCAGAGAGGAAGTATGAGCTGCAAATTCTCAGTGAGGAGCGGCAGCAGTTGTCATCCAGTGATTCAAACCATCACTACCACACAGACACTGGTGGAGCTTCTGGACCTGCTGGGGACTGCCCACCATTTGCTACTGGTGTATCAGTGCTGGCCAATGAGCACTCATTTAAATCTCAGGTCCGGGCCACAGCCTTCACCCTCTTTCTGTTCCTGGCTACCTGGGCTTTCGGGGGATTGGCAGTATCACTGGGGCATTTCCTGGATATGATATTCAGCTGCCTCTATGGGGCTTTTTGTGTCACTCTGGGACTCTTTCTTCTCATCCAACACTGTGCCAAACGCGATGATGTGTGGCATAGCTGGTGGGCTTGTTGCCCCACTAAGTCCAAGACAGAGGACAGCAATGGAGGTGGAAAGAGCCAGAGGCAGGGGCTCCATCAGCCTCACTGCCACCTAAACTCCCCATGCTCAGGCAAGCAGCCGCTGCTCTCTCCTCACCTTGTGCAGACTTCTTACCATAAAAGGACGGCATCTCCCCAGAGCCCCACACCCAACCACACAGGTCCATGCTGTGTGGCTGTGATGAGTCCTGTCACTACAACCCCCATCTCACCTCTCACTGAGCCAATGCCCTCACCACATCAACAGTCACTTCCTGACGAACTTCCTTATCCTGTTCTGCCCCTGCAGAGCTGCCTTACTGACAGAACAAAGTCACGCTCCTTCAACCGCCCACGCCCATGCCTCCAGGACTACCGTTCTCACATGGCTTCCACCAGTATGGATGGCAGTGTGCACAGCTCACACCTAGACAGCCCTCATGCTGCACACCATCTTGAAGGCTCACCACTGGTTTCCAACAGCCCACACCCAGACATCCAGCTTCCCTGCCTCAGTCCTCACTTGGATAAACAGCTGGTTTCCTGCCAGAGCTTACAACGCCAGACCTCCTGCCACAGTGTACAAGACATAATGACTTCCTGCCACAGCCATGCACACAACATGCATGACAGCATCAGTTCCTGTCACAGCCTCCTCCTGCCTTCTCATGGGATCCACGCCTGCCAGTGGCACATGTACAGCTCAGCTGATCATTCTTCCACCACAAGCTGCTGTGAGAAACCCGATCCCTTCACCTTGCAGTATCAGCAAGATGCTTATAGCTGCATGTCAAAGACAACAGACAAAGAAAGGGATAATCTCTGTGAAGAGGTGGAGCAGAAAGGTTTCCCCAGAAATACTCTGCCTCGGCAGCACGCCACTGTCAGCCTACGAGGCGCCATCAGCCGAAACAGGAGCCTGCAGGAGGATGCCCTATTTGGTTCAGACGCCACAAGAAACATACGAACTGGCCCTTGGAGAAATGAAACCACTGTATAATTTTCTTATGCTTGTATGTGTGAGACCTTACAGCAGCCCTGTAATCAAATTATTCCGTAAGTGTTTGGGCCTCACTGCCTTCAACTTTGCCCTTAAATTACAAGTTGAACTTTCAGTGGGGCCTTGTATCTTGACAACATTTCAGAACCCTTTATAACAAAGTTATCTTTGTGTGTTACAAATTGTGTGTTTTTATGAGGAATCTTCAAGAACAGTTAAATTAATGTTGAATTAATTTTCTGCTCCATGCAGTTTAAAGTTGCAGTCAGTATTGTCTGGCTCGCGAGGGCCACAGTTATTCAGTAGGGATCAGTTCATCTGAGTTAGGAACTACATGGACCTGTTAAGACCTCTGCTCCTCCCCCTTGACCAAGGAACTGGAGTTTTAAACATTTCTATTGGGATGGAACATAGAAATTTCCTCACTTGGCTTTTTGGGTAGAGGTCTTCACCTGTTTGGACCCAATCTGAAACTGCCCTGTGGGGAATAAGATCTGAATAGGCCTAAAGATAATTACACCTGATCCAATCCAGTATTATGCAAAGACGACGTATCACTGATTGCACCTTTAAGTTGGATTGATCTCTTTTAAAAAGATCTATATTTGTTCATGTTATGTTTCATATTGTTAGACACAATATAATTTTAAATATGAGTTACATGTATGATTTTAAGTAGTGTGAGCATGTGTGTTTTTTATGTGTGCAACAGTGCATGGGTAGGTACATAGAGATGTGGTGTGTTGGTGCTATATGTATTTGTTATTATGGATCCACACTTGCAGAATTTTACATTTATGAATATCTTGATAAAATATTTACGAAGTCTGAAGATTTTCTATGGAGACACTTTATGTATGCTGCCAAATAGAGTCAAATAGACTCTTGTCTGACAAATATTGCACTACTATGTACCATAGTAACCCTCACTTTGTGAGATGATAATTCAAAAGAAAAGTGCAATGTGCTACAAAGCACAAACTTTGTCCAGTGCCAGTCTATGTGCCAGTTTTCACTGTGATGAGAAACTACACACAACTCATTCTCAACATTGTTTGTAGTATCATACAAACTTGAACTCAGGTTTTTAAAAGATCATCAGCAACTCTTTGAAGTTGTTCCAGAAACTTCCATATGTGTTCTCCAGATTTACGAGTTAAGCCAGGCCTATGTCAATAAATCAGGCTAAATTTCAGTTTCATAAAGTAGTTAAATAAGTCTGATAAAGTTACCATGACAATGTATCCTTTGTCAGGTTAGCTTTCAGATTTACTTTCACCTCAGGCCTAATCAATGTAACCCAGACATGAGAGTGTCCTCTCCTGTGAGCAGAACGCTGAACAGTGCCCTTCAAAGTTATCCCAACTTGACATGGTCCTACAGTAATTCCTATGTTCAATGTATCAGCTCCGGCTTCTCTTTCTGTCCCAGTCTTCTGTATTGTGAATTGATTCGACCTACCCCTCATGTCTCAAGTCTTGTTTTATAGAAATAGTTTGATATAGTGGGAAATGAGAGAATTGATGTGACTCATGTCTGTGCAGATCTAGCTTCAGTAGGTGATTAACCTAGCTTAGTATAATGACTGGAAATGGGAAAACAGCAAGCCTGGCTCAAAAAGTAGTCGCATCATGTAACACCCCCTAAACCCACAAACTGTCATTTTACATTTTTGTCACAAATTAAAGGCTGATTGTTTCCCCAGATCTGTACATAATACAAAGGCATGATTAATCTTCTTATATTCTAAAAAAGACAGTGACTAAGAACATTTCCCAAAATGTTGAACTATTACTTTTAAGTCACGAACAAGCAGTTCTTAACCCAAACATGAATTAGGCCGATCACATTAGTGCTCATTTAGCTTTATGCAACAGCTTCAACCTGTAAAACATAACCCAATCCTTGATCACAGAAAGAGTAGTCCCGCAAAATAATGTTACATGAGCACATACTGAGACATTTTTTAGCAAAGATCATAAATTATATTTTGTAGTGAGAATAAATTTGAGCAAACAAAAATCCATTCTGTGGTCAGTAATCCTATTTGTAGCTAACCTGGTGTATGAGGTATCATTGACAAGGCCGAGTCCTTTCCACAACAGTCTGGGTCCTTTGCTGCATGTCATCCCCACTCTCTCCACATATATATATATATATATATTTTATACACACATAATAAATATATGTACATATAAATACATACATACATAGTTTTTCTTGAAAAAAAGGGATGAAACACAAATGTAATGCCATAGAAATACAGTTATGGAAGAAGTGAGGGAAATGGCCTTGATTTATTCAATGGTTTATTATTTTATCAGTCTTAACCATGGTTTAGATTGTTAGACTTACTTAATTCACATTCTTCACATTAAATTGTGCTTTTCTGAGCCTTCTTTTTGAACCTCTCAGGTTCATGGTATTTAGCGGCATATTTGGAATTTCACTCAGTTAAATTTATCCTTACATTTTATACTACTTTTAGGCCATAATCAGGCCTTCACATGGAAACTAGTATTACATTTATGGAGGGATGAGTCATATCACTGTTATATATTGTAGGTCAAACACAAAAAGTTCACTTATATGTCACCATATCCCAGTTTGTGACACTAGCCTTCAGGCTGCTGATGATGACTGTGAACATGTGATGTGTTGTTGTGCCCCAGTGTTGGGACAGCTTTAAGCGTCTTCCCAAGCCAGAGACAGGTATCACCTGTTAGTGTTGAAATGAATGATGCTGTCCAAACATGAGACCATTTTAATGTGGCATTCTTGATTTGTCACATCTATTATATATATATTATATATTTACAACAGTGTAAAGAAACAAGTGGACACCTTGTAAGACAAAGCGAGTATATGAGCACTGTGTGTTGTCTGCACCAGAAATAAAGATATGCTGTGAGACACTGCATGAGTCATTCTTCTCTCTTTGTACAGGGTCATAGATACGATCAAGGTTGAAATTATACATCATAGCCTTTTTGTAGTGAATTGGACCCAAAAGGCTTGTTTGTGTCATAAAGTCACAAAACAAGCCTTTGGGTCCACATTCACATTTAAACTTCGTCTTCGTCTTCGTCTTTGTCGTCTCCCGCTTATCCGGATCCGGGTCGCGGGGGCAGCAGCCTCAGCAAAGAGGTCCAGACAGCTCTCTCCCCAGCCACTTCCACCAGCTCCTCCGGGAGAATCCCGAGGCGTTCCAAGGCCAGCCGAGAGATATAATCCCTCCACCGTGTCCTTGGTCGGCCCCGAGGGCTCCTCCCGGTTGGACATGCCCGAAACACCTCCCTGGGGAGTCGTCCAGGAGGCATCCTTACCAGATGCCCGAACCACCTCAACTGGCTCCTCTCGACATGGAGGAGCAGCGGCTCTACTCTGAGTCCCTCCCGGATGACCGAGCTCCTCACCCTATCTCTAAGGCTGAGCCCGGTCACCCTGCGGAGGAAACTCATTTCGGCTGCTTGTATTCGCGATCTCGTTCTTTCGGTCATTACCCAAAACTCATGACCATAGGTGAGGATTGGAACGTAGATCGACCGGTAAATCGAGAGCTTTGCCTTCCGGCTTAGCTCTCTCTTCCCCACAACGGACCAGTTCAGCGCCCGCATCACTGCTGACGCCGCCCCAATCCGCCTGTCGATCTCCCGCTCCATCCTACCCTCACTCGTGAACAAGATCCCGAGATACTTAAACTCCTCCACCTGAGGCAGAGCCTCCCCCCCGACCCGGAGCGGGCAATCCACCCGTTTCCGGCTGAGAACCATGGCCTCAGACTTGGAGGTGCTGATCTTCATCCCAGCCGCTTCACACTCGGCCGCGAACCGCCCAAGCGAGAGCTGAAGGTCGGCGCTCGATGAAGCTAGGAGGACCACATCATCCGCAAAAAGCAGAGACGAGATCCTCCCGCCACCGAACCCAAACCCGTCCACCACCCGGCTGCGCCTAGAAATTCTGTCCATAAAAGTTATGAACAGAACCGGTGACAAAGGGCAGCCCTGGCGGAGTCCAACCCTCACCGGGAACAGGTCCGACTTACTGCCGGCTACGCGAACCAGACTCACACTCCTTTGGTACAGGGATTTAATGGCCACTAACAAGGGGCCATCCACCCCATACTCCCGGAGTGCCCCCCACAGGGAGCCCCTGGGAACACGGTCGTAAGCCTTCTCCAAATCCACAAAACACATGTGGACTGGATTGGCAAACTCCCATGCTCCCTCCAGCACCCTAGCGAGGGTAAAGAGCTGGTCCACAGTTCCACGCCCAGGACGAAAACCACATTGCTCCTCCTCGATCTGAGGTTCAACTATCGACCGGACCCTCTTTTCCAGTACCCTGGCATAGACCTTACCAGGGAGGCTGAGGAGTGTAATTCCACGGTAGTTGGAACACACCCTCTGGTCACCCTTCTTAAAGATGGGGACCACCACCCCGGTTTGCCACTCCAAAGGCACTGCCCCCGATGTCCACGCAATGTTGCAGAGGCGTGTCAACCAAGACAGCCCTACAACATCCAGAGCCTTGAGATACCCAGGGCGGATCTCATCAACCCCCGGGGCTCTGCCACCGCGCAGTTGTTTCACTACGTCGGCGACTTCTGCCCCGGAGATTAGATCATCCATCCCCAGGTCTCTTGGCTCTGTTTCCTCTACGGAATACGTGTTGGTGGGATTGAGGAGCTCCTCAAAGTATTCCTTCCACCGTCCCACTATATCCTCAGTTGACGTCAGCAGCTCCCCGCCCCCACTGTAAACAGTGTGAGCGAGTTGCCGCCTTCCCCCCCTGAGGCGCCGGACGGTTTGCCAGAACCTTTTTGGAGCCGATCGATAGTCTTCCTCCATTGTCTCACCGAACTCCTCCCACGTCCGAGTTTTTGCCTCAGCAACTGCCGCGGCTGCACTCCGCTTGGCCCGCCGGTACCAGTCAGCTGATTCCTGAGACCCACAGGCCAACCACGCCCTGTAGGCCTCCTTCTTCAGCCTGACGGCTTCCCCCACCCCTGGTGTCCACCAGCGGGTACGGGGGTTACCGCCACGACTGGCCCCAGCTACCTTGCGGCCGCAGCTTGCAACAGCCGCCTCAACAATAGCAGAGCGGAACAAGGCCCATTCGGACTCAATGTCCCCCACTGCCCTCGGGACGCGGTC